AGTCAGGCTGAGCGCAGTCAGAATGAGGAGGCAGTCCCTTCGTACGCCCACATCTCCCATCGGGCCCTCAAGGACATCCCCAAGGAGTACACCAACCCATACAACTGTAAAGTCCGCGCTCTGGCCTTCAACAACAACCATAAGGTAGGGTTCCCCCTGAAGGAAAATGTTTAGAAATCACATTTGGTGTCAGTGAAATATTTCTAACAATGATTAATATATTCAGTTCCAGTTTTTAGGAAACACAAGATAATGAGAAATAGATAATTTGAGCCTCGAAGCTTTATATAATTTAACACAAATAATGCATGTTCAAAATCAATTAGCTGTTGAGATTGGGTTACAAGAATGGGTTTGGACTTTGTTTGAAGTTGAAACACATCCTGCTTACCTCCACTAAATCAAAATCTGGCTAAACAGATTGTGTGGTGAACTGTTATACAGTTGTGATACATTTAAGTCATGTGTGACAATTATAACTTGTCACTGACCTAGCGACAAATTGGAGATTTGTGGTTGCCCATATTTAAAGCTGTGAAGCCGGCAGAGGATTGAAATATGATACAGGAGTGGATGTTTTGATGCATTTCTTTGAAAGTGGGTTACCAGAGAAGTCAAGCCTACAGGTGAAATGTGGGCTCCGCCTCTACACTCATTAGTTTCAGTTATTCACTTCTGTCTTCCCATTTGTTTTTTGACCATTTTCAGGAACTGGGTGCTGTGTCTTTGGATGGTTACTTCCATCTCTGGAAAGCAGAGTACAACTTGTGCAAGGTAAATAAAAAATACATTGTTTGACTATTAATAATGCCGTCTGTGTCACCAGACTGGCGAGTATGAGCGTCCCATTGGCCGTGTATTTCACGCTGCATTCTCCCTCTCTTCCACTATCTGCATGTTAGCCTTTTTGCAAAGGGTGCTGTCGCTTCATCCTAAACTCAGTGCAGCTAGATGATTATCAGAGCAGATCGTTTTTTCCACTGTAAAAGGAGATTAGATTAGATGCACTTTATAAGAAGGATGATAATGGGCCATCGCTAAGGACTAATAATTATGTGATGCATTTCCTCTAGAAACTCAATTCCAGTGATTCATTTAGCTAATGAAGACCACTTGCAGCTTCCTGCTGTTATATTGTTTTTGTTTAATGCCAGTGGAATTTAAATATGAGATCAGTTGCCAACCAAAATATTACATATTCCTCTAACATTTTTAGATTGTCTTAGATTGACACAGGCAGCTAGGCAGGTTATTACACGGTTAGCTCCCCTGCTTGCCTGTGTCATTTCTAGCAACTTCATACACAGATAGTAGCTCACCTATTAAGCTATGAGAGGTCAGAAACAAGCTAAATCAAAGTAAAAATATTGAAGTTGAGCGGTGTGGCACTTCAAGTTGGGTGACATTGCTCTCGCCATACAACACATAATGTTATTAAATGCTGATCAAGTGACGGCAGCTTCACGCTACTGTGTTCAAACTGTATAAAGAAAACATGACTGTTCATCCTTACTTGGTTTCCATTTAACATTTCATTGGTGGATCCCTCTAGATCCTGTCCACCAAGCTGCCTCACTGCAAAGAGAATGTGTGTCTGGCATACGGACAGGAGTGGTCTGTGTACGCTGTGGGTTCTCAGGCCCATGTTTCCTTCCTGGATCCACGGCAGCCTACACACAGCATCAAATCTGTCAATTCCCGAGAGCGAGGAAGCGGTAAGTGATGCCTACAACTATTGGCACAATTAGAGAGCAGCTGACCTCCCTAACTGCTTCTGGAAGATGTGTACAAAGGAAATACCGCTGTTTACTTTCCTTTTTAACTCCAGTTTTAGCTATTTAAAAAACATTCATACTTTTTAATGATGCATTAAGTTGTAAGAGTGAGATATATCCTAGGTCTTCTTTCAATGACAACCGGTGTTCTTCTTACTCCTCTTTGAACCTCTTTGCATTGAAACGTCTGTCTGTGTTTGCAGGGATCCGTTCAGTGAGTTTCTACGAGCACATTGTGACGGTGGGCACCGGCCAAGGTTCCCTACTCTTCTACGACATCCGGGCCCAGAGATTCCTGGAGAACGCTTTGAATCCAGCCGGAGGGTACCGGAAGTGCCCAGGAGATGGCATCCTCAAACTCTCCACAGGGAAAGGCTGGCTGGTAAACACATTTGTCTTTAATTCATATTTAAAAAAATATATAACAATTTGTGCATCTTCATAACTCTTCCTTCATCCCTCACCTATATCCTCCCTTTCTTGTCTCCAACTCTCAGAATCACGATGAGACGTGGAGGAGTTACTTCTCGGACATTCATTCCTTCCCCAACGCGGTGTACACGCACTGCTACGACGACTCCGGCACCAAGCTGTTTGTAGCTGGTGGACCTCTCTGTTCGGGTCTGCATGGGAACTACGCAGGCCTGTGGAGCTAGCCTCTGTGTCCTCCATCGCTCTATCACTACATCCTCAGCCATCCCCTCCCTCTTCCAGTCTGTTGACATCAGTCTTTGGAATCCCTCTTGCTCACCTCTGTTTTGCTCTCACGTGGACTCAGGAGCATGATCTTGCACCCCACAGTATCACGGCTTTGAATATCGTTATTGTGTATGTTAAAGTTTGTGTCCACTCTCCCTTTCTCCTCCAATTATTCCTTTGCTCCTTTCACCTCAGCTACTCAGTTGTTGTTTTAGTTTTTTTATGAAAATGTAAAAACAATTAACTGCGGATTCTGCCACAGAGGAGCGCGCAAGAGAAGCATTAAGAATAAAGTAATACAGGTTCTCATCATTTAAAACATCCAACCCGCAGGGATAATGATATGGTCTTGTTTGCTTTTGTATTTAAGGATAGTGTTAACCGCTGCTTCCTCTCTGATAAAACAGTGTCTTTGTGAAATACCTGTGGAAAGAGTTCCTTTCCTTTCTCTCACTGAAATGGACAGCAATAAAAGAGAGGGCGAGGTGAAGGAGGACTGAAGAGCGAGCTCATTTTGCCAGACTGAACCAGAGTGCAGTTTGATGTTTCTTAAAGAATATTAACTGGAACAGCCTGTCCCGCAACAATCACAAACAACTTCTCTTTTCTCCTGATTGAGAAGTTAAAAAATGAAGCCAATCAGACTTTGTGTTCATGTGTTCTCACTAAGATGATGTAAAGGAGAAACATTAAGATTGCTCAATGCAATGTTCTGCTATGAAAAAATCCCATCAAAAGCATATTTTATTTTGTGACCGTGTGTGATTTGAAAGGCTGATATTCTAATTTGCTTTATTTTTTATTTATTTTCCCCTTTCTCTTTCACCTTTACTCAGTTGCTCATGGGTGTTTATATCTCCTTCTTTTGAAGGATATATTTTCTTTCTTTGCTCATGTTGCTTTTCTTTTACACCAGATTGCTCTCCAGATGTGTCCCTGTCTGTAACTGTTCTGGCATCGCCGGAGAATTTATACAAAGTTTAAATTTAGGAACAAGTTAAGAATCATCAAATATGATTGATAGCTAGAGGAGCCCCCTCATGATTCTGGGACTGCTCCACAGGAACTTGAGAGAAAATCTGTAGTAGCTCACTGGTCTTCTTAACCACCCATCAGGAAGGTTGCAAGGAGAACTAATGAAACCGTTTTGACTCTACACTGGAGTTAGATGCTGCAGGCACATACTTTTAATGTTACAGTTGTACAACTTTACTTTTTCCTCTTTTTTTGTATCAAGGAGTGATCGGTTCTGCTCTTTTCTTTTTGTTAGAGGGTAGGCTTGAGTTACGTTTTGGCCTTCCTCAGGTCTTTCTGTGAAAGACTGACACAGGCGATCATAATTTCCTTTTCTACATGGAACTTTTCTCCAGTTTTCATGATAATGACATATTGAAAAGAGAAACCCCAACTATGACCACAAATTGAACAAAAAAAACAACACTTTTAAAATGCATTTTATATATAAATGTGTGTATGTGAAAATACATAGGGACAATTGCATACATTTGTATATGTCTGAGGAAGTGTGTGGATTATGTCTACTTGGTGATGCCCTGTTTTTTTAATACATGCCTCATGAATGTTTTTACAAATGACTAAATCTGAGGATATTGTAAGATAAACATCTGGAAAAAAACAAGCTATAAAATCTTTAAAAAGAGTAAATAATAAAAATAAAATGTATATTGATGTAACGTTTATTTTTTATGTTTGACGTTATTTATTCAATGGAGAGATTTCCTCGAATTGAACGGACCACTGCTGATTTAGATTCCATGGAAGCTTTCAAAGGTCTCTTTGGTAGGCCAGTCTGCATTGTGATCGAATATTCTATTAATTGTCTAGCGGTGTGCGTTTTCAATAACAAGAAAACGTATATATTTAGACATACATATACAAACCGTATGTCTAGTTCGAACGAGGTGTGTCTTTCCAGTGGTAGAATATAACTAAGTACATTTACTCAAGTACTGTACTTATAAAATACATTGTGGTACATGTACTTCAGTATTTTCACATTATGCTACTTTATACTTTTACGCGACCACAATTTGTGGGCACATGTGGTATTTTTTTACTCCACAGCAGTAATTTTGCACATATAGTTACGTTAAATATTTGGATTATTAATAAAAAATATAAATGGACTAATACATTTTTGGGCTTGTTTATTTGTTCAGCTACCCAGTAGTGTATAAAGAAGTAATCAAAAATAAACCCTACATTTACCCAGCTCAACATTGAAGTGATGAACACATTAATGCACCAATAATTATAATACAACAATTTAAAAATAACAGGTGCTTAAAGGAGCCATTCTGCATAACAAATACTTCTACTTTTGGTATTTAAAGTATATTAAGAAGCCAATACTTGACTTAAGTGCAATTTTGAATGCAGGACTACTAATACTTGTAACTGAGTATGTGTACACTGTAGTATGGCTACTTTAATGTAAGTAAATATTCGGAGTATTTCTTCCACCTCTGTGTTTCATGGGGAAGGTCGTTAGGAAGTTAGTTGTGACCCAAGAGGAGAGGGGAGCATCACCACCACGGCAGGGCACATCACGTGACCACCTTGTCTGCTGCTGGCCGAGTGAAGCGTGTTAGCAGGTAATAAAAACACAATTTTTCTAATGTTTTACTAAGTTCACTTTCTGTATCACAACGCGTTTAAAATGCGTATTTAAACGCCTACTCGCTGAAATTGTTGTTCGCTGGCTTCGTTGTTTATCCGGCGCGGGGTTGTTAAGGATGCAATTTTTCTGTTGTCTTGTTTCCCGGCGAGCAATGTCGGGATGGGATTGTGCCCCGCTGAGAGGCCTTTTTTCTTCAGATTTAACACCGATATGTTGTTAGACGTCAAGCCTGTTGTTTATTTGTTCGAGGACGAGTCTGATGTAACCGCCAGCATCGTTAGATAACTCTACGGATCTATAAATACGGATAAGACACGAGCAAGCGAGTTAGACAGCCGTTGGCTATCAACTTGGAGCAGATTTAGGTAGCACCTTTAGCTAGCTTCATCCCCGCTGCTCAGTATCGATGCTATGGTGTCAGCATTAGCACGCTAAAGCTAACACGAGTCTGTGCTAGCGAGGACAAAGGGACCACAATACCAACAGCTCAAAATCGGTCAGTGTTGAGTTAAAAAAAAGGATGCTACGAGAACATGCTTTTATTTTGCAACATATACACGGAACGTCAACCGTTACAGAGTAATATATAGAGTCAAGTAATAAGTAACATGATAGCAACATGCTAACGTTAGCATCGGTTCATAACAACGCTCCGCTTGGTTTATTACTAAAAAGAACGGTAGCTAGTCAATTATTTGTAAGATGTTACCAGGTAGATGTTTATATATTTTGACACGTTATGTTTTACATAACTGGTATTTATTTGTCACTGTACACGTAAATGTAATGAACAAGATATGCGGAGTTACTCTGATGGTTTGTTGTTGTTTATCTTTTAAGAACGTCGAGACTCATACTTGTAATGATATGTTATAATTGTATTATTTGAGTACAAAATACTGCTACTGCCGTAGGTATTTCAATATTAAAAAGAGGTTTCGATTTTTCATTGAAATCACATTTTATGCCAGTTCGTCCTTTTGCACAAGCTTTGTTCAGAGCAGCAGCCAATGGCAGCAGTGCATTTGGCAACGTCACTCAGACACTGTAAACTGGATTGCTATTGTTCTCTCACATAAAACAAATGGGTCACTGGGGATATCTGTAGGTATTATTCTAGTACCCACCTTAGTCAAAGCTTGCAACTCCAAAAGTACACCGTGTTGTTCTTTTGTTATTTTACGGAATTTAGCAATTCCCTTTTCCATATAGATGCAGGTGGATAAAGCCCTGTGTGTGCAAAGGGTTTTAAGAAGTGTTTAATATTTGCTACTGAAATTATTAGTTCTTACTAGTCTATAAGGTATCACAGCCAATTTGCATCAAGTTACAACTTGTGCAGGAGAGGATTAAATATTCTACTGCGGTTTGTGTTTCTAATCTGAGGCTGTAAACTATGTAGCGCGTAAAGGGGCTTTGAGGTCAGGGTGTGTGGTGTTTGTTCTGCTTCACACTCTTTGGTCTGTGATTTTTGTAAGAGGACACTAGGTCGCTTCTCCTCCTTGACCCAGATTCTCAGCAAAGCTGGTGTGGCCCACTGCTCTTACAGCCTTCATAAGCAGTATTCATGATTGTGCAATACAGCTTTGCTATGCTCACAACACATATTGTTGGTATTAAGCACTTTGTTCTTTCTATACACTCGTACATGGGAAAGTATCGAGGCTCTGCGCTAACATCATTGTAAATGAAATGCTTGTGTTTGCAGAACTGTTGGTTGATTTCACTCATCCTTCCAGGCTTCTTGTTTCCTTTTTTGCAGATTTTTCTATTTTGTACATACAGAGTTTTGTATATACTGTATATGATGAGCTCGCTGGGCGGCGAAAAGGCCCGGGGCCCTCGGGAAAAAGCGCTGCCTGCTGCTACTCAAACATCACAACCACAAAAACAGATACAGGTGGGCCACCGCAACCACATAAACGTGAAGAAAGCACACTGCCGTAAGCCATAGAGATTTTGAAACAAAACACCAGTGTGCACACGATTACTCTTGCCAACAAAGCCAGAGTGCACACATTATGCAAGGAGACCTCCTTTATCATTATTGAAAAGGATCTACATTAGCTTTCAATAAGGACAATCGTAGGCCCTTGCTTAGTAACAATATAGTCAAATACATACCTTTCTAACTGTGTTAAATATAATAAATGTTTGGTTGTTAAGGAAGATTTTATGGCTGACAAGTTAACAATATGATAGGTGTAACTAATACGGTGTGAAGATATTTCGTTCTTACATTTGTTTTCTCCTGTGAACCAAAAGGCCACAGCTGAGCAGATCCGGCTCGCACAGGTGATCTATGACAAGAATGATGCTGACTTTGAAGGCAAAGTTAACCAGGTGAGGAACACTACTGGTGCTGTGTTCACACCAAACACAAAACAAACCATCATGTGTTTATTCATTTTACATTGTCTGTGGCTTAAATGAGTTTACTGCAGTGGTTTAAACCCATATACACCTTCATTTAGTTGCAATGAATGGATCAAGAGAATGCTGAACTAACTACATCCTGTTGCTGGTTTGTAGAAATTCTGAATTCATGCTTAGTCAGGTCTGTCCCAAGCTGACACCACATTTTTGTTTTAAACAGCTTGTTTTCTGAATGGAGTTCACATCCATCAGTCTTTACTAACGTTGTAGCTGTCAACTAATATGGCATCAATGTTATGTTTACACACTGAGAAGATATCTACATGCTATGTACTTTAAAATCACTTTAAAAAAACAGCATTTCCAATACAAAGTGTCTTTGTTGCTTTCCCCAGCTGATGGAGGTGACTGGGAGGAACCAGGATGAGTGCATGGTAGCGCTCCACGACTGCAACGAGGATGTGAGCAGAGCCATCAACTTTCTCCTGGAGAGCACCTCAGACATGGTAACCACACCATGTTTTATTTAATCCCTTTGTTACACTTCTCATACTCGCCTGTGTTTTTTTTTTCAACAATATCTATTTGCAATTTCAGATAGTGTGAATAGATTTATTTTGCTTGGTAGACAGAATATGCGATGGCCCAAAACGATAATTGATTTGACTGAAATTGGTATTTTGAATTAGAAAGATTGATGATGAGCACATGGACTGTGAACATAAGTGAGAAAAATCATTCATGCTCTAAATTTGTAATCATACCACAAATCAACCAGACCTTCTTTTAACATGTTAGAGTAAGAAAAGCACAGGTGTAATACATAACCTTAATTATGGCTGAATTCCATTCATCTCAAATGATTTAATAAGCATGGCATTGTGTGCTGTCACGGCTTAAGCATCGTACTGTTAGACTTTGAATAATCACTAAGTAGCTCGCATCACTTTTTTGTCTAAGACGGTTGGCCTTTTGAAATGAAGGTGAACAAACTAAAGGACAGATCTCAGACCGAGGACATGTTTCCAAGGGGAAGGTTTAAAGGGGAAAAAACACTTGTGTTGTTCTGCCAAGTCCGAGTGAGTGTCCCAACATTTGTGATGCATACCAGCCGGCACAGATGGCGACTAGAGGCTGTAGGGCAGCCGGCCAGACAGCTGCCCTGCTTGTTGTTTTGATTTTGAGGAACTCCAAAAATAGCAAATAACTGGTGTTATACACGGCAACCCTCTGATAACAACTTCTTCTACCGAACTCGTCAAGATCATGACCAGCGCAAACCTAGAGTGACCTAATAATACATGAGTCAAACATTCATTGTAGTTGCTAAAAAAGTTATAATTAGTGTTTTGATTTTGAATATCTACAGCTCACAGGTCCCAATCCGATTTGTTTTCTTCCTGCATGCAGAACAGAACCCTTCAGACAAGTAGGTCGAAAATGTCCGGCATTATAGCTTTTCTGTAACCATTTCCAGGAATGTTTTTGTAGCGTTGCGTTAGCCTCTTGGTCAGAATACACACAGGCTCAACCAACCACAGAATGCAAGAGGCTCCTTCTACACTATACAACTCTGAAATGTGACTGATGGAGACAAAGATGCCATTTTTGTTTTAATTAAAAAAGTGCATAGTTTACTTACTGATGTATACTGCCCATGTTTTTAGACCTCATGGGAGACGGTAGGGAAGAAGAAACCGCTGGTGAAGGAGGGTCCGTCAGACAGCAAGGAGAACAAGGAAAACAGGGAGAAGAAAGGAGAGAGGGAGGCGAGCAAGGGCCGTGGGGCTGCCAACCGCAAGGGCAGGGGGGCCAGCCGCAGCCGACCGGGTAGGGAGGATAAACTCTACATTTATTTGATTCTGACTTTCCTGCCTCCTTCTTTACAGTATCATTACTGCAAATCCCTTTTTCTCATTTGATGTGCACTTGTGTTTTGAACGCATACAGTGCGTCCAGAGGAGAATGGGGTGATGGAAGTGATGCCCGTGGACAGAGGTGCAGACCGAGGTCGCAGGGCCAGAGGTGCGGGACGAGGTGAGCAGTAAGCACTTGAAAACGCTTTGTTAGTACCCCCAGCGCTGTAGTGGACGCTGTTGACCTTTTTGTGAATGTTACGCAGGATCTGCAGGATCTGGAGGTCGAGGCCGAGGCAGAGGACCACCAGGGACCCGGTTCTCGGCCCAAGGCATGGGGTATGGTGACAACAAGCACGTACATGGGTTTTGTAATAGAGCATGGACAATATCAAAATCGCAGTTAGCAAAAATATTTGATGAATGCAAAATATGTGAAAATATAAAATCACTCTGAAGGAAGTCTTGTGGTGCTGAAGATAAGTACCGGCCTACTAATGGTATTCTACAGACTTAATACAAATCATTGTTTGGTACAGATCCCCATCAAATATATATTTTTAATGATTATGTGAGTGCGTTTAGAAATTGGTAATTCCCTCTGATATCATGAATCATATTGCAATAACAAAGCAGTCAAACAAATTGCAATCTGTTTTCTTTTCACAAATCATGCATTTCTAACATACTTTTAGGTGTACTTTTGTTACTAGAGTGTTTTTCAGGCCAGTAAATGTAACGTATTCTTGAGTTTGAACCTTAATGATTGTGAGTCTTCAGTCTCATTAACATCTGAAAAACATAATAATAAACGCATCTCGCCTCTCCCTTTCCACAACACCGAAAACTAGGGATGGGTATCGTTAAGGTTTTAACGGTACTACTACTTTTATCGATACTGCTTATCGGTCCGGTCTTTTAACGGTACTCTTATCGGTTCTTTTGGAGAAAAAAATAAGGTAAACTAACTAAACAAATTGTGAACAAAACTAACATTGCTTTTTATTTAAATTTAAATACATAATATTTCACATCAAAAGAAACAACAGTTTTTTAACAAATCGTATTAAATAATCTGAGGACAGAACTGTAAACAGAATAGCTGAAACTTTAACAAAATAAATAACTCAGTTTCCTCTAATCATGAACCCATGTTTGAATCATTGAGTTAACTCCGTGTGTTGCTGCTAGCATACATAACACCTGACTGGTAAACGTTACTCGTGGATGGGGCTACAGAGCTGCTAGAAAGACAGTGGAACCCGGTGCATTCCTCCGTCTGGATGTGGAGCACTTTTGCTAAATGTTTAGATAAATTGCTCGTGTTACCGCCCTCACATGTTAAACTCTTATTGCACTTTTGGCAACGAGCATCGAGACGGGTAAAGTTTAACCACACCTCGGAGCGAGTTCTCTCCGCCATCTCCGCAGTGTGTGTGTGTGTTGCTGCATGTAGCAGCTGGGTGTGTGTAAACTGCCCCGCCCCCTCCCAAGCAGGCGGGGGAGAGAGATTTCTCGCCTGGATTGGAAAGATCGAAAATACTAAAAAGACGGTTTTTGCATATTAGAAATGGAATATAATGTTTGTGTAGCAATAATACATATATTTTTGACATGTCTCCAGTACCGATAAAAAGACCGTTAACGTCGGAGCTTAACGGTACCATGGTCTTTAATAATTCAGCCCGGGGCCCGTTTAATACCGGGGCTCGGTACCCATCCCTACCGAAAACCCAACAACCAGGAACCGATAGCTCCTTCAGAAAGTGTTTATAAGAAACTAACTGAATCAGTCCACCTCTTCCTTCCTCTTCAGTTTATTTCTGTGTAACTAAATATACCGCTCCTTCCCTCTTCCCCAGGACCTTCAACCCAGCGGACTACACCGCAGAGTCCGGATCAGGGGGTGCACAGGGTGAGATGTGGGACACAGCGGGCACCAACAGCACAGATGGCACAGGTGTGCTTTTTAGAACTGATATGCTCTTCAGCTGTCGGTAGTCTAGTCGCTACCAACGATCTTGCAATGACATTACTACCTGGTGTTGTTTCGCTTCTTTTTATATTTGAATGAAAATATTCCATGCAGGTCATTTTTGTTTATCAGTGCTGGTGTTCAACAAATAAATAAATAAAAACCTCACTACTCGGCCTCTCTGCTCCGTGCAGCGGCAGGGTTGCCTCACATGGTAGCCAGACTCAAATGTATTTTAGAAAAATGTTCACATGGCGTTAACCTGTATTTGAATTCTGTGACTCATCATTTGTTTCTCTCTAGTTACCTGGAGACATACCTTGGAGGACTGGGCGTCTGAGGACTGGAGTGAGGATGTCAGTGTGAGTTGAGACTGTTGCAGCAGAAGTCTGTAGATCACAGTAACAATGTTGTGGTGTTTGTTTTCAAACAATGTCTCCTGTGTTGTTGTTTGTTTGTTTAGCTATCGGAGACCAAAGTGTTCACCGCCTCATGTGCACCTGCTGCTGAGAACCACATCACACCTGGGCAAAGGTAGCTAAAACCAGCTCAATTATAACATTATAAAGTGGCCCTGATGTTTCATTGTCGTGCAACTTCAGAATAATTATTAATATTACTATTATTTGCTACAAATTGCTAAGTAGTTATTTTATACTAATTTAAAACTATGTTGGCAATGAAGGAATACCTTTACTTGACAAACTATAGAGGTATATTGTCATTGCTATTTAGAATGTACTTGTATCTATTAATAACCCATTACATTGGCAACTGTTGACTCCTGCAAGCCCTTTCTAACTGTCGGCACTGTACTACAGTCTGGACCTCGCCTCTCTGCTGCAGAAGCCTGTGGGCGGAGGAAGAGAACCACCTTCGTCCTCTTCCTCTCAGAGTCTGGTCTTCACCAACTCCCACCACCACCACCAGCCACAGCAGCAACACCCCCCCCCCCCGGCCGCAGCACCACCAGCAGCACAAGCTACGCTCATGCTGCTCTGGTAATGAAAATATTTCTTTTGATTTGACACATTCCTTTCATCTGTCACATGTAAATGAACCCATGCACACACAGACTGATGATTACGCCCTCTCCTCCCATGTGTGCCAGTCGTCAGTTCTGGGAGCTGGTTTTGGGGACCTGGGCCAGGCCAAGAGGCCTCCGCCCAGCGCCGGAGCTCAGATACTGGAACAGCTGAAGGGTCCTGGCCTGGGTCCGCTGCCCTCGGCCCAGGCGGCGCCTCCTTCCAGCACCCAAGGGAGCAACCCCTCCATGGGCCGACTGCCAGGCCTGGGAGCACCTGTACCTCCACCCTCCTCATCCAGCTGGGACATCAAGGCATCAGAATCCAACTCCACCTCACTGTCCTCACAGTTCAGCCGTGAGTGTGGCCATCATGCTGCATTTTCTGTTTCAACATTATTAGTTTGAGTCTTAATTTAGCAAGGACCATGCATGATACATCTCAATAAGAGAAGAGATGATGTTTGTCAGTTGGAAGCATATTCCAGTATATGAACAAAGGCCCGTGTAGTGTTTGTAAACCCTGTCCTATGTTTGTTGTGTGTCTGCAGGTGAGTTTGGCCTGCAGCCCGAGCCCTCTCTTGTGCTGAGTCATCTGGTCCAAAGGCATGCGGGCCCCTCCCTGCCTCTGGCCCGTCAGCCCAGTCCTCCATCGCAACACCAAGCGCCCCCTGCTTCCGCCTCGCCCGTCCCCCACCTCACCGGCCCCCTGGCACAGGCAGGCCAGGCGATGGCTGCTGGTGCTAAACCTCATGTCCCCGGCGCAGGGCTGGACCCTCAGGGCGGCAACACGCCACAGCAGCAACGGGCACAGCTCAAAGTCCAGAAACGAAGGATACCTCCATCATCAAAGGTACTGCAGGGGGCTGAAGATGTTGGACAGAGAGTTGGGATAAATTCAGCTCCAGAAGTTATTACTACAAGATATTACGAATAGATGCTACATTTCACTTTTAGGGTCATGAAATGAGTATGTGATGACGACAGTATTCCTCCATCCTACCACCAGCATGTCGGGGTTCTAGTTTGAGCAAGTCAGAGTATAAACAGTTATCATTGATAATTCATATTTAATACACCTTCATCAACTCATTCATAGGTTGATAACTGGAACTACAGTTAAGTTGTTGCATTAAAATGTCTAACAGAAGGAATTACTAATCATCAAAAATAATTCTTAATTGTTTTATTTATTACAAATATTGTAATAAGTACTACTTAATTTACATCAAATCACACATCAGGGGTACAACCTCCTAAATGCTAATATTGTCTCATAAAATAGTTTGGTACAAACCTAAAACCCTAACCCTGACTGTCCTCCCCCCCCCCCCCGGCAGATTCCCCGCCACAGCGGTAGAGATGCCGGGCTCGGCTGAAGTCCCGGGTCTGAATCTCCAGTTCGGAGCGCTGGACTTCGGCTCGGAGTCGGCAATGCCCGAGTTCGGAATCGTCGACAATTGTGTGAGCCAATCCAGGGAGTCCACCCCGGCCCCCGCCCCAACTCTTCCTGCACCGGGACCAGGCATCCAGAGCCAGACCAGCCTGTACTCCAAACCGCTCAGGTACTGTCGCTGCTGACCCGGGTCAATACCAATGAAAGTTAACAATTGCGGTAAAAAACCAAAACTAAACAAAGTTGATTACTAACTTTTTTTATAAGGTCAAAGATTGCATTGATTACATTTGAACACATCGTAGTAAAGTTAAGATGTACCTTGGCACCAAAGTACCGGTTCTAGTTACATCCTTACTGCTGATTGATTAGTTTCCTCTCAAGTGAATGATATTACAGAAACGATATGGTTTGTGAATAAAGTCGAACGTTTTATCTGACTAGTTGTTCTCCTCTCACTGCTGTCCCGCAGTGAGTCGCTGGGCAGCCCCCTCTCCGTCGCCCTGCCCCTGCCCCTCTCCTCAGCAGAGCCGGTGTACCACTCCTCAGTGCAGCTGCCCAACCTCACTCCCTCCTCATTAGGGAGCGGCATTCCCTCCTCTTCGACAGTCTCCTCCGCCTCCTCCTCCATACCCAGCTCCTCCCACTACTCCTCAGTGGGGGGAGGTTACGATGGGACCATGCCCCCTCACTCACGACTGGCCTTTTCCCAGAGCAAAGAGGCCACGGGGCCAGTCATGGTGAGTAGCATTAGCCAAAAAAGAATCATCATCCTGGGAGCCTTTTCAGGGGAATGCCGAGATGACAGAGATGAGAAATGATCCTCTTCTATAGGATAGTTGTATAAACAGCCGGACACTGATATATTGCTTGGTGCAAGCAAACAGGGGGTCGAGGGTCCGCCCTGCATTGGGACACTCTGGACTGTAAACTTTGAGATGACTTGAGCATACGGACATTTGCCCATAGACACTTAAAGTTATAGTTTGGATGTTTTGAGTGAAACAAAAGTAAACTGACATCGGCTGTGGTTAATGGACTGACTGTTACTTAAAAATATAATAACTAATAACATGAATTTTGTTTGTGATCATCTCGTATGTTGTTTAAGTGTTACATGTATATGGTATTGATCTGTTAAGCTCTGTTGTTCTTTTCACCAGAATGGTCTGAATGGTGTGAGGACCTCTGCTGCTCTAGACAGTAAGTTCCTCTCTACTCTTTTCACTTGTTTAATTTATACCTTCTATTGTAACGTCTTTTTTGGGTTGTGGCATTATGACTAAATAAATCCCTTCCTCTTCCTCCTCCTCCTCCTCCTCCTCCTCCTCCTCCTCCTCCTCCTCCTCCTCCTCCTCCTCCTCCTCCTCCTCCTCCTCCTCCTCCTCTCAGCTTCATCAGCATCCTCCACTCCGAAGCCAGAGTCGCCGTCTCTGAACATCTGCACCAACGGACCCTCGGCACCTTCCTCCCACCTCCCCTCCTCCATGCCTCCACACAGCTCCACGCTCTCCAGCCTGGCCCAGGACATGCCCTCTGCCAGCCATCTCAACTCACACAACAGGTTAGAAAACAGAGTTGCGGTTTACAAACTAAAATGTTGCATGCAAAAAAACTTGCCTACCGTTCCTGCATTTAGAATGTGACACAAATCTGGCCATAAGTCAAAAGGTTTCCCAGCTTTTTCTGCTTGACTTTGACTTCTTTACCATTTATTACCAGTTGTTAAATTACAGTTCTTAAGCTAATAAATAACCATTTTGTTTCTTTGTTAGTGAGATGCAGCTTTGCAAATGTTTTATCAGTGCAACCAATCATCCGTTTCCTTTCTGCCGTCACTCTACAGCCATGTCAGCAGTCATTCCTCAGCTATGGGCTCCAGCGCTCTAACTGTAAGTACCAGTGTCATCCAACACAATGTAAAGTCTCCTGTGTTATCTTTAACCCTGTATACAAAACAGCTGGTTTAGCAAACTCAACACTGTGTCTATGCATCACCAACTCAAATGGACTTAATTCTCGTCCTCAGTACACCTGTGTTGACAACAGCGGTGTGAGCTCGCTGGCTCCTTCCACGGGGTCGTACTCGCAGCCCTCGTCGCTCCACTCCTCCCACAACAGCAGCATCAGTAGCAGCAGCATCAGCCACCTGGTGAACATGCCCAACATGGGCGGCAGCATGGGCAGCTCTGTGGGCGGCATCATCAGCGCCAGCGGACTCCACTCTGCCGCCATGGCCGCCGCCAACTCGGCACTCGGACTCGGCTCCAATGGAGCTAATGCCACGTCCAACCTCAACGCACAGAGGAACAACCCCCTGCTCTCCTCCTCTGGTACACACACACACACACACACACACACACACACACACACACACACACACACACACACACACACACACACACACACACACACACACACACACACACACACACACTGACACAAGGGGAATGTGTGATCTCTGTCACATTGTGATTAGCCCAATTCATTGTATTTGTTGTTCTTCACGTGAAAGTGATGGTTGTTGTGTCAATGTGTTCACAGGTAAAGCTCCCCCTAACTTGTCACAGGGAGTTCCCCCTCTACTGCCCAACCAGTATATCATGGGCCCCGGGGGGCTGCTGCCAGCATACCCAGTGAGTACCCCTCAGGATTTAGAGTCACTGAAGTGTATTATTATTTTTTTATATCAATGAACCTTTGTTTTCGTAAAGAGCATTCTGTGCTGAATAGTTTGAAGCTTCAAATGTTTATTCATAAACTCAACATTTGATTCTCTTCTTAAAAAGAACAAAACTAACTACCTGTGTTTCACAGCAGATCTATGGTTACGAAGACCTCCATATGCTCCAGTCCAGACTGCCAATGGTGAGCCTCATCGTCACACTCTGTAGTACTCTAGTTGTGTGGCTCCTTCTGATCCTCTCCTGTCCTTCAGCCCTCTTTGCAGGATTACTATGGAATCACATTCCCGGGCCCCGCAGCGACTCTCTCTGGCAGAGACGGGGGCCTAGCCAACAACCCCTACTCAGGTAAAACACTGGCCCCCCTTTGATGGCCTTGTCCCAAATCCTTAAAATCCCCGTGATTGTTCTCGCCTGACATCTCAAATATTTGTCAGGTGAAGTCACAAAGTTCGGCAGGAATGACTCCACCTCCCCGGCGCCCCCCGCAAGCCTGGCAGCCCAGCAGCCTTCCCAGGGCCAGAGCCAAGGCCAGAACCAGGCCCAGCAGCAGCCCCCCCAGGCCCAGCAGCCCCAGGGCCAGCCGCAGCACCACAGCAGCCAGCAGGCCTTCCTGCCCCCGGGCTACAGCTACACAGGCCTGCCTTACTACGCGGGAATGCCGGGCGCCGTGGCCAACGCTGCTGCCTTCCAGTACAGCCACATGTTCGTTCCTCCCGGGGGTCCAGCCTCTGCCAAGCAGCACAGCATGGGCCTGGGTCTGGGAAACCCCTCGGCCAGCCCCTTCCAGCAGCAGACGCAGCAGCAGCAGCCCAGCGGCTACGGACAGCACGCCTTCAGCTCAGGTCAGTGAACACCAATGTTCACAACAGGACATTCATTCAAGGAGCTCCCATAACATTGTCCAGTAAATTGACAGGAATCTCATTTGCTAATATAGAATGCTTATACAAGGACAGTTTTCAAATTGGCACACAATATTGTGAGTGACCTGAGGCACCCTCTTGCCTCTTACTTTGAACTGTTGCCATCCGGGCGGAGATATCGTCCCCCTCTGTTCAAAAAGAACAGATCTCGGCTGTCTTTCGTCCCACAAGCCATCAAACTCCTAAATCAATGACGGCTAGGTCGCACTGTTTGCCCAGCTGGCCCTGTCCCCCCTATTTCGCCTATAGGCCCCTTGTCATGTCTGCCGATATCTGGTTTTCTTATATCTGTTTGTTTTAATCTGTGTCTATGTTGTTGTCAGTGACGTATTGTCTTATCTTTTTAAATGCCTTTGTGATGGGCTGCAACCCATTTTCCCCTCGGGGACAAATAAAACGAATACTATACTAAACCCTTTTGTTATTAGTATTGGGGTTTGTCTTGCACAGGAAGTGATGTGTTTTGCTCGAGCGCTGAACTTTGTTTTCCTGTGCAGGGTACGAGGAGCTGACAGCGGGGCCGGCAGGAGTCGACTACAGTAAAGGATACAACTCCTCCTCACAGGCACAAGCCAAATCTGCTGCTTCTGGGCCTGGCAAAGGTACGACAAATAGACACGTCTTTTTATAATGATCATTTGAGATTTTTCAAATTGTCCGGAATTATAATTAAAAGCATGTGTTATATATGTCTGAGCTTGACTATCCTAAATGGCTGGGGGGGGGGGGTTTCAACAAGTTCCTTTACTTAGAAATATACTTTTATTTTCCCTTATGTTTCTGTGTTATCTTACTTATGTCATACCAATGTTTAAACTGATGAAATTGTTGGGACCATTTAGTAGTTGGATTTAGATCAGTTTAGTTTTGAGGTTATTTGGTTAGTGTTTGGTGTTTTTTATTTATTCAGGCTCTCCAATTCTAGATTTGTGATTTAATATATACTGTAAATCATTTTTATTTAGTATCAGAGCCCCTATTCTCAAGCTTTGGATAGCTAAGCGTATCCCATTCCACACGTCTGCATAACCTATTTTTAACTCTTAGTAAATTAAATTAATAGAAATGTTGGTGCGTAACTCTCCTAGGCGTCTCCGTTACGTCCAGTAACTCGGGTGTGCCAGACATCAGTGGAAGTGTTTACAATAAGACGCAGGTGAGCCTCTCACAACTCCTGCCCTGTTTCTTGCTGTGTAGTTGTTTATACCAACAGATCATTAAGACCTGATTAATTGATGCCTCATCTTCGTTCTCCAGTCTTTTGATAAGCAGGGATTCCATGCGGGGACCCCTCCTCCCTTCAGTCTGCCATCAGCACTGGGGGGCCCGGGGCCTCTGAACCCTGGAGCAGCTCCTGGAGGCTATGCACCAGCTCCATTCCTCCACATCCTGCCTCACCAGCAACCACACTCACAGCTGCTGCACCACCATCTTGCTCAGGATGGACAGGTAACCCACGCCGCAGACACTTTATGGTCGCTCAGGCTTTTACCCGTGAGTTTCTGAGAAGCTAATTTGTATTTCTCTGTGTGTTCAGGGGGTTCCCAACCAGCGGGGCCAGTCCAACAGCCTGCAGCAGAAGAGCCAAGTCAACAAGTCGAGCTACGGCAGCTCCCCCTACTGGGCCAACTGAGACGGCCACATCTGCAGTGTGTGTGGCGTGAACATGGACACACACACCAACACACAGCACCACACCTGCGTGTGACGAGATCATAGAGGGACAAACCATTTTACAACACAAGCTAAAAACACACACTACCACCCACCCTCCCCTTTGCTCTGTATATCCCCTTTTCAAATTTATGGCTGTTGTATGTAAAATATATTTATGTATGTATTTATACAGTATATATGTATTGGTAGGACATAAAATGTGGTATTCTGCATTTGGTTTTTATTTTGAAGGACATTTTATTTCAAAAAAAAAAAAACAATGTGGAAAGACGAGAATGCTTAATCATGGAGATGAAGTTGGTGAATATACTTGAACACAAGCATCCTGTGATGTGGATTTTTTTGTATGCATACATGATCTGAGAGTGATGTACATAGATTCTACACATCATTTTCACGGCAAAGGCCTTTTTTTATTTTAGAAGAAAAACGTTTTTGTAACTTTGGTCTCCCGCATCTGTGAATCCTTATATTGAGGGTGACTTGAGTTGATAGCTTGACTTTTCTTTCTGCCCCGTTTCCCTCCCATCTGTCTCTCATTCCTCAACTCTTACTAGTTGGCTGGTTTTCACCTGCCCGGCCTTGGATTTGATGTCATTTTAACATTGGTTTAATCATTGTTGTCCAAATTAAAAGTTCTGAACAGTTTGTATCGGTCTGGCATCAATATTTACTCAACACAATGTTTTTCTGGATTTAAGCCCACAGGTTGCTTCATACTCGCAATGAAACCAGTTCAGTGCAGAGTAGCAAAAAATGTATTTGATATAAATGATTGAGGGAGACCACTGTGCCAACATGTTCTGGACAGGCTGGATGCAAAGTAATCAAATTGTGCAGATAAGATTTTTTATTAATCCCCGATTTTTCCGATCTGGTATAGATTTACTCAGAGGCTGGAAATACACTGTATGTTCATGTATACTATAAACACTAAAAAGGACCTATAAGTATTCAATAATTGAAGAGGTGGCAGAGCAAAAGGGCTGCCAGTGTTTCAGGGCCAGGGAGCGGTTTGGATGTGGTGCCTTGTCCAACTGGGACTCGCAGCCTATGGTTCCCAAGACCATACAGAGCTAATGCTGCTGTGTCAGGCCACCAGTGATGGAAAACAGTATTTTCAGGAGCTTACATTTTTTTAATTTACTGGCATAGGAAATGTTACACAGGACTTAAATCTAGGGTAAGTAATTCACTTCAGAAACACTTTGTTCTATTCCATGGAATGCTCTTAACATCCAGATAGCAATGATTACATTAAATGCTTTGCCAATAAATACATACAAAAATGTAATCTGTGGAAGCCGTAAACAGCACGACCAAGTATTTTGGATGGCCTACCTGCCTGTCAGCCTTCCATCTAGTGCACAAATTTAACTCGTGCCCTCATTGGTCATGTGCGCGTTCGTGTGTGTTGGAGGAGGGGCTCTGTGAGGAAGTCTAAAGGAAGGGGTACTTTTCAATTCTAGCGCACTTGAGCTGGTTTCTCCATTCTTACCTAACCTACCTTTAATGATCCAAAGTCAAAACAATGACAAATCTAAGGCTGCAGTACTTGTGATGTGATCAAGCAAAGATTTGCAACTCAAATGCTATACAAATAAACTTACAAGTTTGGAATTAAGACAATTGGACTGAAACATAAAATGAATACAACTGATTTTTAGACCCAACTGACAGCCTTTAGAAACAAGCAAGATGTGACTGCAGAAGTGAAAAGGGTAGGAAGGGTTTTTAAGTCACTTGCTAGATGACATACTTTACAAATCCGTGCAATTACTGATTGGCAATTTATATTTAAGCAGAGGATGCTGGTGGATGTGGATTAATGACAATAGAGCCGAGCCATCATTAATGTGATCAGTTTAATCCGATACATTTATCAAATCATTTACACCCACACTGATTTCTGGGGAACTATACACAAGTGGGCTTTGGTAACAGACAGTGAGGCTGGAGGACTTCAAAGCAGCCTTGGTTAGATGCCAACATTATAACCTCAGGACTTGAGCCTCAGCAAAGGTTTGATGAAGATGCTAATTACAAGTGAGCATTAAGCAAAGCGTGACAGTTTCTCTTTTGACAAAGTTTAATGATCGCTATTTACAAAAGTACAAATAAATGTAACCGACATCAAGGCACAGTCAGAATCATTTCTTCGCAGTCTAACTTGCCAAACGAGCTGGAACATAAAGATGCTTACTAGTGTAGGATCAAGCATAATGGATAAAAAATAAGCTGTACAAAAAAATAAAGATTAGTCTTTGACCACATTTTCTAGTCTGTGGTTTCTTTCTTCTTCTTCTTCTTCTCAGACACTGGTGTTTCAGTCTCTTCTGCAGGCTCTGCTTCAATAGCCTCAGACTTTCGCTTCTTTTTCTTCTTGGAAGGCGTTTCCGTTTCCTCTTCGACCACAGCCACCTCCACGGCCTCAGATTTGCGCTTCTTTTTCTTCTTCCCTGGGGTGTCCTCGGCTCCGTTCTGTGCCGCCTCCACCGCCATCTCCTCGGCCGCTGGCTTTGTGTCTGCGTCGCCATTTTCTGCCTGCAAGACAGTAAAAAGGGTTAATAACTATATTCATGTTTTACGCCAAGCTAGCCCTCAATGTATACACACACACATCCTGCTCTTTGTGGATGCAATGTCTGACTCACTTCAGTGATCGGGTCCATTATTTGGGACCAGCCAATGGTTCGGAGTCATGATAATGTAGCATGTCGTACACTGAGAGAGGACCATGTGAGGGTCAAATCTCAAATCAAAACATGCGTGTCCTGAAACTACATCCAACCTGCTTACCTCAGCTTCACCGTTGGTCTCGCCAACGTCTTCTTGCATCTTCTTTTCACGCTTCTTGCGTTTCTTTTCCTTCTTCTCAAGTTTCCGCTTGATCTCAGTTGCGACGTCAGTAGCCTAAGACAAGAAAACAAACATTAAATGGTTGCAAACTGGCTTGTATTTTTTTTTCATAATTTCTATATCCTAATGCTGCGTCAGGCTCATTAAATCATTTTGTACCCCCACAGTAGGGTCAGGACAAAGCTTGTCATCATCCACAGCATTAACAGACCCTGAACTTTGTAGGAGACATTTGATCCATGCGTCACGTGTGTAGCACACAGCTGCGACTGGTTCTCTGAGCTCACCTCTTTCACAGCTTCTTTCATGACATCCAGATTCTTGCGTGGCACTTCGCCCGTCTCATAGAAAGACAAGCGTTCTTCCACCTGTCCGCGCAGCTTGTCACCGTACACACTTGTGGGTACCTCTGCAAGCAAAGACAGCAAATAAATAAAAAATTGTAAAGACAATTACAGCAGTTTAGCAACTTCGTGGCTTTGCTCAGAATAAAGTTTATCACCACCAACCCGAAGGATGACTACTGTTGACGAAAAATGTAAACATCATTGCAATAATGCCACAAAGGACATTCAACAAGGCCGTGTAACTCACCAGAGAAACAGTCAATGCGGGAGGCGATGGTGCACTTGTTGGCCAGATATCTGGAGATGCGGCCTTTGTTCTTGGCTGCAGCGCGCCCGATGAACGTCGAGTGGAAGATCAGGCCGTACTTGGGGGTGTTTCCTTTGGTCTTTAAAGCTCTGTTTGACAATAAAAACCAGAAACTGTCAAAACTCCTGAGTTTTTCTATGAATTATTTAATTTGAAAATATATTTTCTGTAAACTACTTTCTGCAGCAAATTTCTAACGGCTTTCCTCAGTTGTTCAGGGTTACATGGAAGTTGTCAGCACAGGAAATCAGTGGATTGACAGATTGATACATCATTACAACTGAGGACACCAATACAGCTGTAAGAAATTACCTGCACTTTTTTTACACAAATTGTCTTAAGAGTTAAGTTTCACCGCTTATTTGAAATAAATTGGCTCAACGAGCTTTTAGCATTACATGTTATTGTTGGAGGTCAGTTCCTCGATTAGTGCCTGTGTTTTTGTCTAACTAGTGCATCAGATGTTCTACCTCAGTGCTGAGTGGCTGCTCAGACTGTGGGGGTGCATTGGGTGAGAGGGATCACTCTGGAGGAGACCTTAGCCCTCTCCAGTCACCCTGCTCTGTTCCTGCCCCGCCCTGCCATCACTGTAGCCACTTTATTCCCCAGCAGGGAGGGGGTGCCCCAGTACCTGAACAGGGCCTTCTCTGCTCCCAGGATCTGGACGGTGGAGGCTGGGTATTTGGCGAGGTTTGTTAGACTGCCAGCATGGGAGATCAGACGAGCTCCAACCTGACGAAGAAAAGGGCATTAGGGCTCAATGACAACCAGAGCTTTGGTGGGGTTACCATGAGAAACGGATTACTCGGGAGGACCATCAGGACCGGAAGTATCAACACAGAGATTCAGGGGATTGACAGATTTGGTAAAAACATCATTGGTCCTCGAGTAATTTGTATACAGCGAACAACTAACACTTTAACTCACCACTTCTCCGATTAAAGCTGCCAGATTTGGCGCCACTTGTGCCATCTTGCAGCGCAGGTACTCCTGCAGCCCGAGTCGATATTCAGCCAGAGCCACCACGCGAGTGGAGAATCTCTCAATGTTGATCAGATCAATGGGTGAGATGTCCATACCTGAATGATAGATTAAGAACAGGTGTTAAGCAGAGGTTTACTACCAGCTCCATTAACCATGTTGTGCAGTAGGTTGAACACAACCAAAGAGATTTCACTGACAAGTCATTGCATTTGTTTGTTTCTCCCGACAGGATCCGCAGAGAGGACGGTGTTCCATCACTACAGGTTTATGAGAGATTCAATTTGCCCCCCTGTGTTAACCACTAAGGACATGTATTAGTCCAGAGTGGGAAAATAGGGGGCATGGTGTGTTTTTAAGCTTTAAATGCACGTGATGTGTACAGATGCCAAAGATTAAATGATGTTTGCGTACCCATGGAGGAACGGGATGCTTCCAGGATGGCCTGAGCCTTGGCGCCGTCCATCACCACGGCCTCCATGCTCTCCAGATTCTCCTCTGAAAGCTCCTTCCTGTTACCAATGAGCTGAGCCATGCGGCAGTACATAGAGTTGTCTGGCACGATTCTGACCAGCTCTGGGAAGTGGTATCCATACCATTCACTGAAGACACAAGGAAATGATTGTTAGATGTTAGACGCACAAGAACCAGGTGTAGGAAATCACAGCACAAAGCTATGGCATGCTTGGCGAGTGACTGCACACGTTAGGGTTGCAAATAGAAAACGGCAAGGTCTAGAAAAAGTGCCTTTGTCTTGATGGCACCATACAGGAAACTTACCACATGAGTCAAAACACGAAAACCCTCTATTCATTATGTAAACAATTTTTTTGAGAATATCGGTTTTTACACTACTTTCTGTAGCAAATTTCGAACGGCTTTCCTCAGTTGTTCAGGGTTACATGGAAGTTGTCAGCACAGGAAATCAGTGGATTGACAGATTGATACATCATTACAACTGAGGACATCATTATGCTCCTTTTTGCAGAAAGACTTCTCGAGTGCACTTTTTTACACAAATGGTCTTGTCGTCAAGTTACATTACTTTTTTGAAATAAATTGGCTCGAGGAGCTTTTAACATTACATTTTATTGTTGGAAGTCAGTTTCTCAGTTTAATGTTAGTTCCCGTGTTTGTCTAACTAGTTTTATCAGATGTACTTACCGAACACGCATGGAGAAAGTGTTGATGTCCTTGTCCAGCTGGTCCAACAGAGCAATGGACTGGATGATCATGTTGTCCACTCTGTTGACATTGAACTTTACTTTAGATCTGGAGTAGCTGTGACCCAGACCCAGCTGTGCCTTGGAGGCAGCCAGGCCGGTGAGACCCTTCACCAGCGAGTGGAAGTGCAGACGCAGACCTGACAGGACAGACAACAGATTAGATGTGTTGAGTTCAGTGGAAGAGTGACAGAACAGCATGTGACCAGTGCCTGTTCAGATTTTCAGTATGAACCTTCATGAGTTTCAGGGTTAAAAAAAATTGCATCACAACAGGCCACAACCTTAAGGCTAGGATATTCCTTTTTTAAAAAGTTTTAAAAAATAATCAGGCAGGTAAATGATCCTCACCTCTGCTAATCTCTGCCACCACCCCCCCAGTCTGGATGGATACAGTAAATTCTTCTTGTAGAGATGCTCCGACCTTGGAATCTGAAACCCCCAACACAGCCTTCTTCTTCCCAGAGAGGGGCAGGTTTGTCTCTAGAAACAATTTCAGGTCAGAATGAACCACACCTGCAAGGGAAGGAGGAAGATTACTTATTTGTCTGTAGAGACTTGGTTAAAATTACACTTGAAACATGCAGGAAAGCCATTTGAAAGATGCAACACTGACTAATGTGATCTGATAATACGTGGATCTGCCAAAAACCAGAATATGGCCATTTATGATGGGCTACTGCTAATATGTGAAGGTTAACAATTGATTGTTTAAACTTCTATTATAAACTAGCTGAAAGTCAGAACACATGCATTTCAAAGGGCTTTCCTGAGTTGTTCAGGGTTACATGGAAGTTGTCAGCACAGGAAATCAGTGGATTGACAGATTGATACATCATTACAACTGAGGACACAAATGCAGCCCAAACAAAGAAAATGATCTTGCCTTCAGAAATTGCATTCATGTTCTCCAGAGCACCCTGCGCCGACTTGAAGGGGAAGAAGGCAGCCAGGCTCACCATGCTGTTAAACTTGGCAATGCTCAGCACACTGGCTTCAACCTGAAAACAAATAAAGATAATGTTACTACCTGTGGTCCAGTCAGAAAAATATCAATTGTCACATTAAAAAGGCAAGGAGTAAAGACAAACCTGAGGCAGCAGCATGCCGATCTCCTCCACCTCTTTGACTGCAAACAGCGCATAGCCAGCAGCATGCTCGAACAACACGTGCAACAGCACCTGAGAAGGTAAATATGTTGGATTAGAGTGTAACTCACTTTCATAATAACGAATGTACTGTTTTAGAGTGTTTCAAACCAATACCCATCATGCAATCAGGTGTTATGCAGAGATGTACTACCAGCGCCATTAACCATGTTGAACACAATAAGTAATTGCATTTGTTTGTTTCTCCCGACAGGATCCGCAGAGAGGACGGTGTTCCTTCACTACAGGTTTATGAGAGATTCAATTTGCCCCCCTGTGTTAACCACTAAGGACATGTATTAGTCCAGAGTGGGCAAATAGGGGACATGGTGTGTTTTAAGTTTTAAATGCATGTGGATGTGCACAATGTAGCATTTAAATGAAATAATTCATAAGCCTTGATTTGGTTATTTACGTTATTAGCCCATAAATAGGACGAGTCGCAGACGTCACCACGTTGTCGCCATGTTGGACCCACGTGTTGACCTGGGCCCTTGCGAAAAAAGTGCCTCCGAGCTAACTTATGCTAGCAACGATGCTTACATTTACACAGGATCAAACTGATCAATAATGTGCTGATGCCACTGCTTAAAAGTGAAAAATCACTGCAACGTACAAAATCATCTCAAATCAACCATATGCAGTGAGAGCCTGAATAGTTCAACTTAATGACGTATTTCCCAGCTAATATTAGCCACATGGGTGGCTAGCTGCCTCACATGTTAAAAGGCCTTCAACTGAACAGTAAACATGTAAAACACCCTTTTTACTCTTAAAATTCTATTACATATTTGTTTTAAAGCATTCAGCTGTATCCTACAATAACACACTTTGTAAATCAGACACCCAGCACCAGTACTTACCATGGTTAGTGAATCTCTTCAGCAGTGTGCGTCTGCTCTGCTCCAACACCGAAAGAAAAGACTGCTGCTACACGTTTCAGCAGACTACCACATGACTTAAATACCGCGGGAACAGCCAAACAACGCGATAACTGGCCGTGTGGGAAAGCAGCACCTGCTGGAGAGAGAGCGGAAAGTCAGCTTCCTACTATTTACGATGACTGGATATTTCCTTTCTCCTCTGTCTGAGGAGACTGCAGCCCATTTATATACGTTTTGGACCCCACACCTGCACAGGTGTTTTCACTCATGGCTGATTGTCTCTAGCCAGTTTCTAACAGGTGCGGCAGGAGATGAGAGGAAACTCATACCGTAGTAACAGTGCATGTTGGGGACTATTTTCTGCCACAAATAAATGAGCACAAGTGCTTTAGTATGTATTTTAGGCAGCAGGATGTTTCTCTGGGACTTAGTAATGATAAAGAATTACTGAAGTAATTTGTTATCTGGTGAAGTTTGATGATTTTGTTCTCTTTTTTTACATTTGTAGGACACATGAAAGTCTAGTAGACAGGTTCGTGGTGAAATATCTTGTTTGGTCTGACAAGTAGCCTATACTCAAAAAACATCAAAATAAAATATTTATTCATAATTTTGACTTTTGCTCAAATATATTGAAGCTGAAACCAGTTTTTGATGGTTGCATTTTTTTTTAAACATAGGCTACTTAAAAGTTAAATAAATGATCACAACAGTTGCAGACAAATATTTTGTCATTGCCTTCTCCTCCAGTTTCAAATAATTGACAATTGCATTAATTAACCACTTTATTTGTCTTTGTTGGGAATTTGTCGTTTTTGGATTTATTAAGAATGTATAGAATATTGACAGATTTATCTTTTAACGGAAACATCCAACGGTACTGCTCAGTCCTACTCAGTGAGCAGTATTTAAGACATGTGCACTGATTTTGGCTACTCCAACTGGGTTTGAAATAAAGCTCTGAACACTTTATATGGCTAAAGGCAAATCAACTATACGTGTACATAAGAGAAACCTTTAAAGAGACTTTTGTTAGGTGATGAAAAAATGTAACCATGGTTTGTGCGTCATTGTGTGGTTACTAGAAGTGCCGGAGGAGATACAAAGCTGTGCTTGTGTCATTGAAGTGCACTAAACAAGATACAGTGGTGGCTATACTTTTAATAGTCCACTCCTGCAGGGTGAAATAATAATAAATATATCCTGCGATGAGTGTTATTTGTAGGAAAAGCATTGTTAGAGTTCTTTAGGGTCATGATGTTACCGAGGAACGGATGCATGTGGGTCTGTTTGTATATCAACGGCGCGCCATAAATGTCACATTGTGTTGGATATTAGCTAAGAGCAGAACATTTATGACACACACACACACACACACACACACACATACACACACGCACGCACACACACACACACACACACACACACACACACACACACACACACACACACACACACACACACACACACACACACACACACACACACACACACACACACAAACACACAGACACAGAATTAAAGTCCAGTATACTGTATTAAGCTGAAACCAGTGCATATTTTGTGTTTTACCATTTTTTTTAAAAGTATCACTCCAGTTTCAAAACAGTTTAAGATTCATTGTCTGTCTACTATTTAATGAATCTACCAATCATTTATCACCAATTGATCATTCAAAATCTTGCATAAAAAACTCCCACATTTATCATTTTTAATGAAACATATGACGGTACTTTCACCTAAGTGAAATCAAATTCAAGCATCTTACTCGCTATAATTTGTTTCCATATTTAACTTGGGGACTGAAAGGCACAGATTTTGCTTCTCAGTTAGCAGTAGTCGGTTTTAAAATGAGTTATGAATGAGTTAGTTTTATCTTCTTCATATGAAGGTTACATTCCGGAAAATGTGTTTGATTGCTGTCATGCATGATAAGAAGAGATTTCTGTGTAACATTTCACTATCATATCAACCCTTTTCAGTATGTGAGGAACACATGTGTCCTGTAGCTCACACAAAATCCCCAGTCAATATGCGACAAGTTTCTTTTAGTACTTTTACCAAAGTTCTGTACTTGAGTTTTCCACGTTTTCCACTTTTTCCACTTTATTATCTCCACTCCACTCCACTACATATATTTGATAACTCTATTTAATTTTGACACAGCAGATACACTTTATATAAGTTCATTTAAATAAGTCCTACTATCTCCTACATTGACATTTTAATGATGTATAAAGATTTCACTTTAATTTAGCCTTAACACTTTTTGTTTATGTATTCCTGCTTTTTTGTGCTTTTAGATAATATTGATTTGATTATTTTAATATATGTATTTTTCATTTTTATTTATGTACTATTTTTGTGGATATCCATCTGTGTAACGCATAGGAAATAATATTAAAAAGTATAATTTAGAAATTCCCTGAATACAGCATAATGAGCCATTTTAGTTTTCATATAATTTGGTGCTAATACTTTTATTCTTTAACTCATGTCAAATTCACACATTCACTTTTAACCAAGTTGTTCTTCTGGTTTATCTTCTTTCAAATTAATCTTCCTTTTCCTTTTTCTCATCAATGTCTCCTATTGTCATTCGTGTTAAAGGTCAACTAAGTAACAGCATGGCAGGCTTACTACCCTAATAACTAATACGAAAGCCAGATTCCTGAGTAATATGTGTGTTTCCAGGAGCATGGAGGAGAGTGCTGAAGGAGCCTGTTGAGGAGCGGATGTGAGGGAGGTCAGTAAAATCTCAGGGATCAGGAGAGGGCTCGGTATAAAGGCTGCCCGGGACAAGCAGACGCTCAGAACAGTTCAGCCCTGCTCATCCTAACGCACAGTTCTTTAAACAACTGACCAAAGCTGACACAGCACGTGAGTAACATATGTCTTCTCCTCTCACTCACCCTCCAGTCTCTAACCCCCGCTGTCTGTTGCTCCTGTCTTTCTTCTCTGCGACGTCCTGTCTTACATTGTGTACAGAGCTGTCTTGCTGTTGTAAGTATGGCTGGTCCACTCATTCTCTTATCTTGCTTGTTGTTTGTTATTCCACGCCTCTCCCCCCCCCCACCTACTCCCCCCGCCTCTTTCTTTCTCTATCAACTATTTGTCGACCCTTGCATAATGACATGTGTCCTTGTTACTCTAAACTTAGTTATCTGGCACACACACTCACTGTCTAATTTAGATTTTGTTTGACCTATTTTGAGTCTTTCCAACTGCTAAAAGAAAATTCTGTAAGTGACTTGGCCTCAGTGCCACCCCATGTTGGTGTGGAAACATTGTTCTGCATGTGTGTGCCTATATGTAATGTATTTGTATTTGAATGTGTGTGTGTGTGTGTGTGTGTGTGTGTGTGTGTGTGTGTGTGTGTGTGTGTGTGTGTGTGTGTCCAGAACAGAGCAGAATGAGCATGCGTGGAGCAGTGACAGGTTGTTTGGTGCTGGCGTGCCTAGTGGTGCTGCTGGCTGAGAGGACGGAGGGACACATCACCTTCTTCAGTCCCAAAGAGATGATGCTGATGAAGGTAAGCAGCTCGTGTCTGATTGGACGGAGAGCCTGAGTCACAGTTGTGATGTCACCGCACTCATACTCCCACTAAACTCTCATAAGAGCTTTTTCTTCAATTTTTTTGTCCTGTGGATTTACTTGATATCAGTTTCTCAGTTATGAGATTCGCCCCGATATTTGGGTTTTAATTGGACAACAACACATCTCTATTTCGTTTAAGACATTTAATTGCCAAACAACGAATCAATGAATAGAATAACATGCATAAATAAATAGCAATCTATACTTGCTAATGAAAACACATCTCCACTTTTTGCAACTGTGAGTCAATGTTATCCAACTGGAAAGATGGAATATCAAATCCGGATTAATATTTTGTTTGAGATGTCTAGTTGGGTACTTTAATTTTACAAAATATGAATAATTAAGTTAGAGAAATAGGTCAAGCAGAATCAGTGTGAAGGTGACAAACTATAGGCTGAGGAAACAAAAACATTAGTATTGTTAGAGGGATTTCTGTAAGCATTGTGGCTCTTTATACTGGACAAAGACAGAATGAATGGAGATGTCATTAGAAGTCCAAACTGTCTCATTGTAGTTTTCCATTTTCTTTCACGTTTGTTTTTCCTAACTGTATGACAGTAGGTTTTTATTGTTGTGTAAATGTGTGTTTGTATGCTGCAGGAGAAAGAAGGTAGAAAGGACATGGAGCCTCGATCAGAGGACGGTCAGTTTGAAGAGGTTACAGTCCAACAGCTTCCTGAGGTGGAACATGGCAATCCTGTGAGCACACACACTCACACACAAACACACACTCAGAAACACACACACACACAGCTCTGACCCACAATATTGTTTTCACCACAGAAATGTTGAATACAGGCCATTAACACTTCTTCTTCTGTTTGTCCAGGATAAAACTGTGGAGATTGCCATCCGTCTTTCACCCGAACAGCTAGTTCAGGTTGCTCCGGTCATCGAAGAGATCATCCATGATATAGTGGAGGAACATCAGAAAGGTAAAGTGTTTAAGAAGATGGACAGTATAGAGTCTATTAAAAAAAAAGCAAACCTACAGTACAACATGGCCTTGTATCTTCTTTTATTATTCAAACATATTTATAATACACACTTACAAGTGATAGTGATTGGATCAAAACCTTATGCTGTTCTTTCTTTATCTCTGTCTCCACAGCCAAATAGCCAGGGTGAAGACACCAGGGGATGAACGCTGTACAAACTGTTCAAAAAGCACTGAATGCTCAAATGTTTTATTATGCTTTAATGAATCATCCAATAAATGGGAAGTGAATGTTCACATACTGTATTGAACTTCTGTTGTCATTTTCTGAAGAAGAAGAATGGAAGTATGAGTTGGCCGCATGATGTCAGCATGTCTCACGAAACCCCTTTTTAGTTAACTGGTTATCAAACCTGAATGAAAGCGACATTACATATTTGGTATAGTGTTCACAAAAAAGCAAAAAGCAATTTTTTTAATTGAGTTTAAAATTACTTCAATCAAATTGTATTCAGAAACATCTCCTGATGATTTTAAAGACACATCAAATCAAGTTTTCACTCAAGAGGTGAGGGTGGAATTTGACCCCGTTTCTGT